ACTCCACCCGCCCATTAACAGTATAATCATTGGTTGCCTTTTGGGGACCGGGTAGGAATTTTTCCCCTCTCATGTTCTGGGAGGGTTTTTTGCCTACCCTATACTGTTTAGGGGCTAAATAGTATGGTGGGGTTTTGTCTATAAATAGGCTTAAAGTTTCCCTAACTTTTAGGGGTGTGGGCCATTTGCTAAAACACTCACCTGAAAGTTAAGTTATTCAGTGAGGTGAAATCGGATGGCCCAAAAATGGGAGAGTCTGGTCTCAACAAGTTTGAGAAAGAGCCCTTTCACATTTCCCTTAGAGGTTGCCCGGGTATGGTTACCAGGGAACCTAGGTTTTCGTCCCAGTTAGCCGAGGGGGAATACCTGGCTGGGATACCTCTTCGGCTTTGTACCCAAGTTCATTACCCCTGTTAGTTTAGGTTAAGGCAAAAATTAAATAGGTAACATTTAAATAAAGTTGCCCATAATTTAATCCAAATTATGGTGTGTTGTCTCTTTATTTCGGGGATGGGCAGGCAAAAGAATTTGGGTAGATGCACCCTCCAGCCATGTCAATTCCCATTCCTAGTGCCAGCATCCAACATCTTCAGGAGTAGCCTAACAGCTATCATCTTGGCAAGTCTCACCTATGCTGAAATCTGCCCTGAGTTCTTATCTCATATGCCTTTTGGGATTCCACAGCTGCAACAACAGGCAGGTAGGAATTTTTCATTTTTTTGGAAATCCTATGAAACGGCTCTACATGAAACATTTGCATTTAATTACAGTGATGGTGGATCACATCTATCTGCTTAAAGAGTTCTGTTCCTCTTGAACATGTCAATTAAGTAATTAATTCTTATATGCCAGATATCAAAGGAAGTTATTTTTAGTAATTCAAAAAGTGGGAAAAGCTTCAAAGGCTCTGGAAGACAGCAAAAGTGAAGTTCATGAGGCTCATAGGTATGCTTTCCATACTTCTGATTTACAAGTAGTATTATTCCACAGTAGTATTTACAAGTAGTATTGTTCCACCATTTGTGGAACAAGGGCCAAACTTGATATAATACCATTCAGGCAATTAACAGTTATGTAAAATGACTTAAGTTTATAGCAGTCAGGATGGCAACCCAGGTTAGGACAAATGTGGGAGCAGAGACAATTTATATATTTACCCTGCCTGCTTCCAGTTTGGATCAAGGCCCTCAAGGGCTGCTGCTATTTGCATTAGGTGTAAAGTTCCAATTGAACTCTATGGAAGGAAAGCTCCCATGGGGTTCAATTGGAATTTCACACCTACTGCAACTAGGTATATGGACTGGGGCTATGCTGAGGGTAAGGAGTTTAAGTGACCTTCATTCTCCATGGATCCTAATTCATATTTTTCTCCTTCTTCCTTTCATTGCTAATCAGGTGGACTGTTGTCGCACCTCAGAATAGGTTCACCTTGCTGAAAACACCAAACTGCACACAGCCAGAAGTCTTTATGGCTTATTAAAAAGTAAAAGATAAAAAGTTCTTAAAAGCAAAAGTAATGTTCCAAAAGATCAATACAAAATAACTCTTTAAAGCATAATCCAAAAAGACACCAGCAAAGCAAAATCCTATGAGAACATGACTGAGTCCTGAAACCATGAACACAAGAACTGCAAGATCATCCAGACAAGCAAAGTGCAAGCTTCTTGGTTAAACGAAAAGTTGCTCTGACAAAGGTTTGGTCCCAAACACACAGCTTAATACCCTTTGCAAAACATGAAGGCATTTCTTTGGCCTCTGACCTCCTTCTTGTTAGCTATTCTCACACTCCTTCGAACTCTGAATTCCAAACGGTCAGCTCAATCTAAGGTTCCCATTTCGTCAAGGTCAGTTGGTTTGTTAAGTGTTTTCCAGTTTGCCTACCTGCTCATTATCAACTGTCCTCCTTTTCTGAGTCAATTTGCACCTGCACCTGGCTAGTTTCAGTATCAACAAACTCATCTCTTGCTGTGGGAAACTGAACTTCCACACCCTGTTCCTCATTGACTATAACAGGGACATTTTGAACCAGATTGTGATCCTGAATCCCATCATCCTCATCAGAGGCACTCTGTGGTTCCAGCTGAGTCACAACAACTGTGTCATACCTACTTTGACCTTGCCACACTCACACCCCCCTAAGAGTGTTATACAGAAAAATTCTGAACTAATTCCTCTTCATTTTCTTGCCTGTGTATCATATACTTGCTCATTTATCCCATTGTCAAACCTGCACCCAAGCTCTTGCTCCTATCGCTTCCCTTAACTTTTTGCACAGATGAAGAAAAAGAAGAAAAAACTATTTCTTTCCCTCTGATTTCTTAAACTCATTTCCCTGATCTTTGCTCTCTGACTTCTTATCGTCTTTTAATTCACCTGGAAGTCGGAAATCATACACACAAGAAAGATCTTCAATCTATGAAGTACTTATAAAATCCCTCCAACCTAATTAGAACATTCAAGCTGAGGCTAAAGTACACAGCAGGAATGACAAAATATTTTGGCTCACATTGGCCTAAACTACTCCAATTTTTCCAATGTGCTAGTAATAAATCACCATCCTTTTTAACATTTGGGGGGTGCCTTATTAAAGTTTTGTCAGTGTTAGTTTCTCAATTTGTCATTCATTGGAGCTTAGCTCCCTCCACGGGATGAATAAACATTAAATCCCTGTCAACTGGAAGCCTATTAACTGTGATGCACATAGTATATAAAGCTATACTCATAAACACTATCACATAATGCGCATTCTAACTAGCTCTTCCTATATTGCAGCAACTGATTCATACATACCCCTGTACTTGCAATTATATTTACCAGCATCTGACAAAATATGTAGGCATTTTCTAGCTACTCCAAGAAATTCTATGACATGGCTCCATTGGAAGTTGACCACAGAATCATGCTTGAGGGCCTAGCAATGCCTACAGAGATGCGCTGGAGAACCTAGCAATGCCAAGAAATGAGTCCTTTCCAGGAATTTCCAAGGTCATCCAGCATGAGTCTAGAACAGGGGTCCTCAAACTAAGGCCCGGGGGCCTATGTGGCCCTCCAAGGTCATTTTCCCGGCCCTCACTCAGGGTCAACCTAAGTCTGAAATGACTTGAAAGCACACAACAACAATATCTCATCAGCCATAAGCAGGGCCACACTTCCTATTTCATTTTAATTATTGTATTTTTAAGTGTTATGCACTAAAAATAAGATATGTGCATTGTGCATAGGAATTCATTCATTATTTTCAAATTATAATGCGGCCCTCCAACAGTTTGAGGGACTTTGACCTGGCCCTCTGTTTAAAATGTTTGTGGACCCCTGACCTATAGGAATTCATTCATGCTTTTTTCAATTTATAATCCGGCCCTCCAACAGTTTGAGGGACTGTGACCTGGCCCTCTATTTAAAAAGTTTGAGAACCCCTGGTCTAGAGTATAGTAGAAGGCTTTCATGGCCGGAATCACTGGATTGTTGTAGATTTTTCGGGCTATATGGCCATGTTCTAAAGGCATTGCCTCTAGATTGCCTCTAGTCATATAGCTCGAAAAACCTACAACAACCCAGTCTATAGTATAGTATAGTATAGTATAGTATAGTATAGTATAGTATAGTATAGTATACTTCAACCAGAAAGCATCCATTCAACATTTTTTACTATTGCCTGCTGTTTTGTGCATTCACACACAAAGTTCTGGAACGTATCCCCCTGTGGATATGGTGACTGTAGCTTTTATAGAAATATGTTTTATAGAAATATGTGTACATGTGGTGTTTTTGCAGTGTATATGTATTTAAATTATTCTGTAATTCATGAGGAGAGACTGGTAAGTGTTGTTGTTGTTGTTGTTGTTGTTGTTGTTGTTGTTGTATCGTAGTGGATAATTGACTTCCAATTTCAATCCAAGTTGCTGTTAATAACTCCTAAGCAGTTTGTAGCCTCAATACACTGCTTCTACCTACATATGCCCCCACTAGGAATTAGATCTGGCAAGATGGCCAGTTTCATAAATACCCAAACAAACATTAAATGCCAATAGTGTTCCCTCTAAAAAGATACTGAACTGTTTGTTAAATTAGATTCCAGGTGAATGCAGGGATGGTATTCTTGTTTGAACTTTTACAAAACTAAATTTCTTAATGAATAAGGTAGCTTTAGGGACTTAAAATAGCTGCATGGTAAAATGATGACTATAATGGACTCTAGAAATAAATGATGTAATCATCCCCAGATAGTAGAAGTTCAACAAATAAAAGTGTTACGCATTCAAAGGGATTAATGTTGTGTATCGGTTCATTAAAAAATGTTTTTCCATGTGGGCAACTAATTTAGTGAATGATGATACCAAAGTGAGAGACCAGAGGCAGCATAAACATTTGATTCAAAAATGTTGAGTACTTTTTAGATTAACACATATTCTAGCTAAAAGTGACTTCTCATTAAATTCTACCATTACTTCATTTAGTTATATTATGAGCCATTAACTTTTGCAATCATAACATCAATAAGAAGAGAGTAGAGCACTGGGCAATTGGAGAAAACAGAAGGGATGGGATTTGCCTGCTCCATGTCTTCCAAAACTGGAAATATACAGGGTGAGTGAAGCCACCATTACAACAATGCCAGCTTATCATTCTTACAGCTGAAGCCTCAGACAAGACACATAGGCAATCCCAAACAAGATTGCTAATCCAGAATGCTAGGATCCATAATCCAGTAGACAATGTATCTTTACAAAGGTTTTCCCAATTTAGGGGAAAGCTGGGTATCAGGAGAGCAATGATATAAGGGTCATGTCTACCCCCCCCCCCAGCATAAACTGGTCTGTGGAAGGGTTGGTGGGAGGTCGTAGGGCATATCCCTACCTGTTCTGTAATGTGTGTGTGAGAGAGAGTGAGAATGTGTCCATGTTTATGTAATCCCAAAGCATCATTACACAGGTCTATCAATCATACATGATTTTGACAACAAATTTACCCCTTCAAGGCCTGCTTAGACAAGGACTTACCATTCTGTACTTGCTGTTTCTGCTGTCCTGCTGTTGGATTGGACTCTGACTCCTTTTCCACCTGAGTGATATTTTTCCCTTGAGAAGCTTCGTGTTTGTTGTCACCAGTTTGATGAGTCCCATTTACATTGCTTTTATTGGCTTCTGTGCTCTTACTCCCACTTGAATTTCCTTCTTTACTCTTGTCAGTTTTGGTAGCAGAGCTTTCTTCAGCTTGCTTTTTCCCTTCTCTTTCTTCTGGTTTCTTCTCATCTGAACCCTGCTGAGCATTTTCCTCTGTTTCTTTTTTTGTTTTTTCTTCTGCATCCTCAGCGAAAGCAAAGACAACATAGATGGAAGGAAAAAATCATTAGTGGGAACTTTCATCTCATTTTTATGTCCCAATCTTGGCCTTTCAAAATGATAATATGTGACACTGAGAGTCACTTATTACCCAATTCTTACTAGTCTAGAACTGAATCAGACTGCTCTGTCCTCATCACATTGTATATATGTAAAATGAATGAACATTGAATGCTGCATGTCACCTGTATTGCAATATGCAATTGTTAGATAGAATTTTGTGAAGTCCTGTGCATGGAGAATCTAATTCTTCTAATTTTCATGGATTTAAATTAGAAGAAAGAAAAGCCCACCAAACCTTTAGGAAAATCTAAAGGTTTGACAATAGAATAGATTGCCTGATGATTTGAAGTTGGACTTTCCTTTCTTTATTAATTTTTAAACATAGGTGGGGTGTCCATCTTTCAGATCTGCCATAACGTATCCTAGATCGCTCTTGCAGTCTCTTCAAATTTAATTTTTTCATTCTACCTGGCTGCTGTGAGATACTGTTATCATGAGAAGATTTGTAGCTAAACTAAAAACAGTCAAAGGAAATAATGCAAAGTCAGACTAAATCATTTGTCAAAGGCTTTCATGGCCGAATCAATGGGTTGTTGTAGGTTTTTTCAGGCTGTATGGCCACGTTCTAGAGGCCACGTCCTCTAGAACATGGCCATAAACCTGAAAAAACCTACAACAACCCAGATTAAATCATATCAGGACCTCAGGGGATACCCATCAATAGAACCAGAACCAAGTTTACGCTCCAACTATAGATGCAAAAGGATAAGAAATGGAATGATTCTATGATGGAGCCCAAGAGGAAAGTAAGAAGGAAGTTATGAGTTTACCAGTTGTCAAACTCAAGATGGGGAAGAGCTAAACAACTTGAATACGTAATGTGGTGAGCTCACACGTTATTACCTTTGGTTGCTTGTGCTTTCCACTTTTCTCGGTTTTGTTGCACCAGCTCAGTCCACGTGGTTTTAAAGCATTTGAAGTCCACAGTGAGGATGGAACAATTGAGTGAGGCACTTCCTTCGGATCCAGTGCTCTTGACACTTGATCGTTTAACTTCTGAGGGGCTAATGCTATTCAGACTGTGATTGCAGAACAGAACAAGAATTAACACTATGACAGCAGCTAATATTACTACTACCACTAAAAGAGTTGTGGCTGCATAGACAATGAAGCCATTATACCACCAGATTTTCCATTTTATTCCCCCTCTAACCCGGCAGAAAATAGCTACAAGTTCTTTACATTTTATGTACAAAAGTGTACTAAAGAAAATAATAGAATATAGAATATATATAGAATATATAGAATATTCTATATATTCTATTATAGAATATTTGAGGTAATTTCTAATGTTCTAATGCTTTCACTCTTTGTTGAGTAAATCATTCCTGTTTAAAAGCATTTCTTTTGAATTAACACATTGGGTTTAAATGGAATGACATAACTGAACATAAATTACATTGATAGAAGTTTTAGTTCACAAATTTAAAGTCCCTTCTTTTGGCAAGTATATCATGATACATATGATATGGAGGCTATTACCCCTCATATCCATTAACAATTGTTGTTGCTAGTGTTGATATTTTCTTGCCCATGCAATTCAAAGCACTGCACTTTTGTTTCCTTACATGTCAGTAAAATATATTTCATTTTATTCATTCTAACCATTGCTCTTGCAAGGAATGACATGCCTGGGTTTTTCTGTATTTGATGATGAGGTTGTTTTGCTCTACAAAGTAATTACATCATCAACCACACGGACTAGACAGACAAAAGTTCTAAGGAACCCCTGGAATAAGTCATGGATAGTTTACATTTACATGGATAGTTTACATTACCGGGATTGTGGTGCAGATGGCTGAGTGTCAGCTGCATTAAGATCACTCTGACCAAAAGGTCATGAGTTCGAAGCCAGCCCGGGTTGGAGTGGGTTTCCAACCAATTGTGTAGCCTGTTGTTGACCTTTGCAACCCGAAAGACAGTTGCATCTGTCAAGTAGGAAAATTAGGTACCACCTTAAAGTGTGGGGAGGCTAAATTAACTAATTTATGAGGCCATAAAAAAAGACTCCAGCAAAAGCATGCAGGGAATGTGGAAGTACTTCATCAGTATCGCAGATGGACGATGAAAGCGGCAGCTCCCCTGGCGGCCAGAAAAAGTTAAATTGCCTCTGTCTATGTCTGTATATGTTGTATGTCAAAATTGGCACTGAATGTTTGCCATTTATGTATACACTGCAATCCACCCTGAGTCCCCTGCGAGGTGAGAAGGGCGGAATATAAAAGCTGTAAATAAATAAATAAATAAATAAATAAATAAATAAATAAATAAATGCCCTTGGGCACAAAATTTTAGCCACTAGGGTCCCCTCTGCACAGATGAATAAAATCACACATTATCTGCTATGAACTGGAATATATGGCAGCATGGACTTAGATAACCCAGTTCAAAGCAGATATTGTGAGATTTTCTGCCTTGATGTTTTGGGTTATATGGCTGTGTGGAAGGGCTCTAGGTTGCAACCTAGACTTAATCATGATTAGATTAGACATACTGAATTCAATGAGACAAGGAAACATGGCTAACTTAGGCCATGTCTACACAGCCAAAACAGACTAGACTCACCATGCACCTGCTTCAGGAAGTGCAACACCCACCATTAACTCATGTCTACAGAAGATGGGGTTTATTTTGGATCCTCCTGACACCTCCAGATGGATCATGTAGTTTCAAAGGTGTGGACAGCTTGACCAGGCTGGATCCAAACCAATCTGCAGTCCACAGTACTAGCAATGTTCCCATCACTACAGTCCACCAGTAAGCAGTTCTTTCCTAGAGACTTGCTGGTGACATTACATTACATTTTTTTTTTCAGTGTTTAAGGATTTTTATTAAAGCAAGAATTTTATAATCCAAATTATGGTTCTTTGCTCAGCTATCAATCCTTACTGTTAACTACAACAGTAGTGATATTCTGAGCTTTTCCACAGTAAATTACAAATCTGGTGATATCATTTCTGATACTGAACCATGTGACCAGAAATGTAACATTACCTTTAAGCCTCTGTGAGACAACAGCTTGCTGATGGTTGTACCAATGGCCAAAGAGCTCCAGGGGTACTACCAGGGCTGCAATGCAGATGTTCCAGGGCTCTTTGCATTGGATCTATCCAGTAGAGTAGATATAGCCTTAAATAGAACTGCATTCAGATCCTATCGGTTGAGTACATTAACAAACTCTTTTCAGATAGGAAAGTTGAGCACCCCCTGCAAAATGTATCCCCTATACAGACCTGGAACGCCTAAACCCTGTCATGCCAGAGTGAGAGGCTTCTTCAATGAGAGGTGTTACAATCTTCTCTGTCATGTCAGACAGCACAGTGAAGGTGGGCTCCACAATAAAATCAATAAAACCTAGAAAAAGACAGAGAAAAGAAGCAAATGGAGGAAGATCAGCTATATCAAAGTCTAAATAGTTATCAAAATGCAAGAACAAATGCATGCAACAAATACGTGCGGCAAGCATATGACTAGACCAGAGAGGATATGCATCTAGTCAACAAGATGTTACCATCTAATTGTTAGGTAATTCCTTTAAAAAGGAAAATCAAACGTTACAAGCATGGCAGATGGGATTCCGCTTGTTTTGTGCCATTTTCTGCAAATCCGAGCCAAACTCTTAATAAAACTGGTTATGGCCCAGCTTCGAAAATGAAACTGATGGCCGCAGCATAATAATGAAGCTATAATAAGATATCATAAACATGCAAAATGAAGCAGAACATTAATTCCCTTGAACTTTCTCATTCTATACTTCAGATTTGATTTATCAGCAAGAGTAATCAAATGTAGTTTTGGGTGTTTTCTGTACATCTAATTTGATATTCAGTGATTGGGACATACTCAATGAATAATGTAATAATAAAAATTAGCTGGTAGGAAGTGTTTAATATCAAAAGTAATACCTTGTAGTAATTGGCACATATTTCAAACCAGTAAAATTGAAAGCCCGTTTTAATATATTGTTAACAGTTTGTAGAGCAAATTAACCAAATTGAGTACTGGGTTACATGGGTTATCTAGAGAAGCACCATCATTAAAGTATTTGTCAAATGTAATTATGAGTTTACATAATCCACTTATGTAATGCAAGTTCGCATAGGACATTGGCCCTAATCCCAATTGGCTAAAGCTACATCAAAATTTAAAGTATTCAGAGTAACATTTTAGACCAGGAATAAGACTTGAGAACTTCACCTCTCGACTATCATCATCATTAGCTAAACTGGCTAAACTGGATAGGGTTGTTGGGAGTTGTAGTCCAACAGAATCTGGAAGTCTGTGTAGTTCAATTCTTTGTTTTAGACTCAGCTGCCTAAATATTTATTTATCTATATCTATATCTATATCTATATATATAAATTTGTTAGGGGCATCCAACGAGGAAACAAAACTCAAAAACCCCCCAACGAAACTTAACCAAAATTCCCATGCCCATAACACAACCCACAAGGTACAAACATATCTACTCAAAATGAAAAACAACACAACAACACACTCACAAAACGGCAAAACAACAAAACTCAAAAACCCCCCAACGAAACTTAACCAAAATTCCATGCCCATAACACAACCCACAAGGTACAAACATATCTACTCAAAATGAAAAACAACACAACAACACACCACAAAACGGCAAAACAACAAAACTCAAAAACCCCCAACGAAACTTAACCAAAATTCCCATGCCCATAACACAACCCACAAGGTACAAACATATCTACTCAAAATGAAAAACAACACAACAACACACTCACAAAACGGCAAAAGAATAAAACTCAAAAAAAACCAACGAAACTTAACCAAAATTCCCATGCTCATAACACAACCCACAAGGTACAAACATATTACTCAAAATGAAAAACAACACAACAACACACTCAAAACGGCAAAAAAACAAAACTCAAAAAAACCCCAACGAAACTTAACCAAAATTCCCATGCCCATAACACAACCCACAAGGTACAAACGTATCTACTCAAAATGAAAAACAACACAACAACACACTCACAAAACGGCAAAACAACTGAGCATGCGCATTGGCGCCCAGCCGCAAGTTCCCTGGCGCGCGCACATGCCCTTCCGGCCAACGTTCCCTCTGCGGAAACCATGCCCACTCCAAGCCCCGCCGCGCCGCTTCCCGCACACACACACACCCCTGCCGCACATACACACACAACCCCACACTCCATCACTCCCCCCGCCGCCGCACACACACACGCAACCCCACTCCCCCCGCCGCCGCACACACACACGCAACCCCACACTCCATCACTTCCCCCGCTGCCGCACGCACACACGCAACCCCACTCCCCCCGCTGCCGCACACACACACGCAACCCCACGCTCCATCACTCCCCCCGCCGCCGCACACACACACGCAACCCCACTCCCCCCGCCGCCGCACACACACACAACCCCACGCTCCATCACTCCCCCGCCGCCGCACACACACACACAAACCCCACGCTCTATCACTCCCCTGCCCCAATCTTACCTCCTTTTACTTCACGCCACCTCCAAACCCCACCCCGCCCCTTCCCGCCCTGTCAAAATCCAGGAAAGACAGGAAGGAAGGAAAGAAGGAAGAAAGAGAAAGGGAGGTAAAGAAAAGGGGGAAGGAAGGAAAGTTAGAGAAAGAAGGAAGAAGAAAAGGAAAGAAAAGGAAAGATGGAAGGAAAGAAAAGAGAGACAGAGAAAAGGGGGAAGGAAGGAAAGAGATAGAAAAAGAAGAGGAGAAGGAAAGATGGGAGGGAAGGAAGGAAGGAAGGAGGGAAAGAAGGAGAGAAAGAGGGAAGATTGGCCACAGCAACACGTGGCGGGTAAAGGTTGTTATTTCTATTATTATTATTATTATTATTATTATTATGCTATTGTTCCTATGAGACCCTGGGGAATGGGAGAGGTGTCAGGTCCCAGAGGCAATGCATTGCATTATTGTTATTGTTATGATGGTGGTAAAATAAAAGGAAATAAAAAGTGAAAGAAGGAAGCAAACAGGGAGGGAAGAAAGGCAAAGGAAGAAAGGCAAAGGAAGAAAGGGGGAGGGAATGAAGGAAAGAGAGAAGGATGAAACCAAGTAGTGAAAGAACGAAAGAGGTAGAGAAGGAAGAAAGGAGAGAAAGGGGGAGGAAAAGGGGGAAGGAATAGGTAGGGACCTCTCTTTCATAATAGTCCAGGTATCTACCTCAACTTTGATAAGTTTTACTATAGGCCACAGCAACGCGTGGCAGGGCACAGCTAGTATTATATAAATAAGTAAACTCCAACCTGCCGGAAGTGCGGAGGGCAGAAGTGTGGAGGGCGGATGTGTTTGTGGCAGCTTTCCGATTGGCTGCCACTGTGGTGCTATTTGCATATGGTCTCTGATTGGCCACTTCAATAGGAGCCCCTGGTGGAGAAAAGAGGTCATGACAGAAACAGGGCATGACAGAAGGAAATTTGCATATGCTCTCTGATTGGCCAGCCTCAAATCCAACATTCCGAGATGACAAAGAGAGGAAAGGAAAGGCCAGAGGGGGCTGGGTCAGAACACTCCCAATACAGACCGAAATAGGCACACAGAGCCCCCATCACCCACTCTACATCCTACTGCAGTTTGGAGGAGGATGAACCATGGATGATGGGACTTGCAGTACCACCACTCACGTTCTGAGACCACTGTTAACCTCATCCAATGACTGATCAGAACCAAACTTCGCACATAGACCTCTCATGACCCACTTTACGTCCTGGTGTGGTTTGGCCGGGGATGGACCGTGGATTATGGGACTTGCAGTACCATTGCTCAATTCTTCAGACCACTGCAACCCTCATCCAATTACCGATAAATACCAAACTTGGCACACTGAGTCTCCATGACGCACTCTACATCCAGGTGCAGTTTGAGGGAGGATGCACCATGGACGATGGACTTGCAATACCTGCACTCCCTTCCTAAGACCATTACAACTGCCAACGATGATGGATCAGGACCACAATTTACACAGAGAGCCTGCATAACTCACTCTACATCCTGGTGCGGTTTGGAAGAATTTAACAATGGCTGATGGGACTTGCAGTCACTTCACTCACTTCCTGAGACCACTGAGACCCTCGCCAATGACTCATCAAGACTAAACTTGGCACATGGAGCTTCAATGACCCACTCTACATCCTGGAGCACTTTGGAGGATGACAGACCATGGATGATGGGACTTCAAGTACCTCCACTACCCAAGACTGCTGCAAAACTCATCTAATGACCAATCAAGACCAACGTTGGCACACAGAGCCCCCATGACCCACTCTACATCCTGCTGCAGTTTTGGAGAAGGGTGGACCATGGATGATGGAACTTCCAGTACCTTCACTCACATTCTGAGACCTCTGCAAACCTCTTCCAATGATGGATCAAGACCAAACTTGGCACATAGACCTCTCATGACCCACTTTACGTCCTGGTGTTGTTTGGAAAAATTTGGAGATGGATGATGGGACTTGCAGTACCTTTGCTCACTTCCTGAGACTACTGGGACC